GATTTCAACTCTAGAATAACTCTAAGTGTAAGACTCTTTCCTCTGTAATACATCTGTTTTCTTAAATTCATGTAAACACAATGCAAAGCAGATTCTAAGTATTATATCAGAAGCACAGGCCAATAATTTAGTTCTGGACTTGGCAGTCCAGAGACTGAGGTTCTGATGTGTTGAAATTTGGACTCAGTACTGATGACTGGGTTTGAATCATAGTCCCAGCACTAACCTTGGCTGAATCACTTACATTTGCAGCCTGCATTGTTTTCTGGTGGGGCGGAGGAGGGAGGGAGCACGTCTGTAAATTGAGGAGGGTGTTGGGATGATCTCCACGGGCTCTTCTGGCTCTCACTTTCTGTGATGCTGGGACTTTAGGAGGTGGCATTTGATCTGGGCTTTGGAGGGTGGGGTGGTTTTGACAGGCTGCCTTGTAAATGAGGGGAAAGAGGTATTCCAGGTGGTGAAAACAGTTTGAGCAAAAACACAGTGGCTAGTAACTGTAGAAAGGACTCTGGGAATGGTGCATAATAGTCTGGTCTGATGGGGCTAAAATTTAATCCTGTAGAAGATGGGAGAGTAGGAGGAATCTGCCTCTGAGCAGAGAGACAGCCTTGAAAGTCATGCTTAGGAGCTGGGAACTTTGTTCCTTGGAATTATGGAATTTGAAAGACCCTTGGTCCTTTCTTTAGTATTCCTGGACTCTCTAGACTATGTGTTTTCTTTTCAGACACTTATACACGTAAGAAAATTCTTCTCTACCTTGATTCGGAACTTACAGGTTTTCCCTATACCTTTCCTGGTATAGATAATGGAAAATTATAAACGGTAGAGGAACGTGTCCAGGGATATGTAATCCAAGGCCCTGATGTAGACCTGTGGCAGCACACGTACAATATGTAACCTTACAGGAATAGGACTTGAAAAGCCTTTTAAAGCAGGCTAGTCCTGGAGTGTGTGCTGATCACATATGATAGGTCGGTCACTGACCAAGAATGCCACAGTGAGACAGAGTTCCTGCCCAAACACTCCTCCCAGACTCATGCAGAAGATGGATCAGTAGACCACTGTGACAAGGACTGTAGTCATTCGGGTCAGGAGCTTTTAACCTGCAGATGGGGGGGAAGAGGTCAGGAGTGTGGGGAAGTTAAGGAGCTGACCAGATTGACAAGAAGGGAGAGCACTCCCGGGAGGGGGAACCTGGAGACAGAAACCTGACTGACTGGCCTAAGGTCCTGGGAGCTGTTCTCTGGCAGGTGTGTGGTTGTGTGTCAAGAGGATAGAGATGAGGCTGGAGCAGTCCCCGGAGACTCATGCTGAGGGGCTGTGTTTGCCCTGCTAAGGACTTTCACATTAGATCCTGAATCTGATGAGAAACCAGCATTCTTAAAATAGTCACAGTCATCCTCTGTTTTTAGAATGTACTTACACTTCTTTAAAAAAAATATTAGAACATGTAGAAAATATGAAGGAAAAAATAAAAATCACCATTAATCTCACCAACCAGAAATAACCACTGTTAAAACATTTAATATATTTCTAACCAAGTGTGTTTTTATGAGTAGGTACTTAAGAAACGAGTGGCTTTATTGCAAAATTAATATCTTGTATCTTGCTTTTTAGTATAACAGTGGATGCCAGCATTTCCCAGGCTATGCCTTTAAAACTTTTTTGAGAACTTTTTTTCTTTTTTTTTTTTTTATTGAATGGTAACTGTGTACATTGATGCACTTTGGGGGTACAGTGTGGTGTTTTCACACACAGTCCAAGACACTTCCATCAAACTTTTTTGAGAACTTAACTTTTAATGACTACATATTATAGCCCAAAAGATAGCTTTATCTTATTATACTTAAACATCTCATAATGGATTAGATTTTGAGTTGCTTCATTTTTTACTGTCAAAAATAACGTTGTGATACACAGCCTCATAAAACTGTATTCACTTCCGACCATTTGAGATTGGTCTAGACACGTACATGGCTGCAGGTACATGTATGTGTGTTTTAAAAAGCTTTTTTGATAGCACTGTGAAGGGTGGGTTGGAAAGAGGTGATCTGGGGCAAGCAGACCAATAAGGTTGTTATTTGAGCGATTTAGACAAAGCAGGAGGGCATAAGCTAAGTTACTGGCTGCAAGGTCAGAGAGAGGAGGAGATGGTAGATAATAATCCTTAAGGTGTTTGCATAACAGAGGTTTCAGTAGGTTTTTATTACATACTACATGTTAATTCAGAGGTTGCAGTGGCCTCTGAAGTGGCTGCAGTGGGCAGGGAGAAGTAGGTGACAGGGGGTTGGTGGTGCTCTTCTCTGAGTAGGAAATGCCCGGCAGGAAGAACAGGTTTGAACGGTTGGCCTGGAAAGGGGGAAATTATCAGCTCGGTATTAGGCATGTTGCCTTTAAGGGCATAAAGGTAAAACTGTCAGGAGAATAGTTTATAGATTGAACTGATAGTTCAGGAGAGAAGTCCAAGCAGGATGTTCAGCTGTGGGAGCCACCCCCCTGACAATGGTGACTGAGAAGCCGGTCACAGAAGCAGTGAGATCTTCTGGGAGATCTGGTGTTCATGGTAAGAGGCCGTGGAACACGACCTAGGAGGTGACACGGGGAAACTGGAGAAGGAGCTCCGGGATAGTCTGAGGAAAACCAGGAGGGGGAAGTTGAGGAAGCCAAGAGAGGCAGGAGCTTCAAGGAAAAACTCATCCAACTGTCAAATGATGCAGAGGGCAAGCAAGAAAAGGGCGGGAGGGCCTGCCCAGGTGCAGCGGCCGGCGGGATGGGCACAGCGGCCGGCGGGATGGGCACAGCGGCAGGCGGGATGGGCAGGAAGCAGCAGGGGGCCGGCGGAGCCAGGAACCCTGTTCCTGGGCTGTTTGCTAAGATAGGTCTTTTGAGGGCTGGACAGCTTAATGGAGGCAGCAGAAGATTCACTTTTTCTTCTTATTTTTGTTAAATAAGGAAAGCTAGATTTCCTGATCATCACCTGACTCCAGTTCCCTCTCCAGCATTTGCTTCCAGCAGGTTTAAAGTCTTTTTGTGATTATTTTTGTGGACACTGTGTACTCTGTCTACACTTCCAAAGAAAGCCCCACTGCTCACGCTCCTAGCATCTAACTTCACATTCCATTCGAACCAGCGGAGACCTCCATGTTTGTACATGTGGTCTTACTGGGGTTTATTAAGACTCTGTTTTAAGCTTCAGCAAATAACATTTGGAATTGCAGTTTTAAAATTACAGAATATGACTCGTGTCCTTGAAGTTTGATTGTTACCTGAAGAATTAGTCGAAAACGATAAATGTTTAAATGTTGCAGTTTAGGGAATGTCTTTATTGTGTTGCCAGATGCTGAATGACAGAGAGCTTTAATTCTAACAAGCTTTAATTAGAAAGAGAAAAGAAATCAAAGGGTGGTGTCAACCAGACATCAAAATGAACCATAACAAGGAGCACTTTTATTGGTTACAGGACATCAAGAATGTGCGAGCCAGTCTTACTCGCTCCTTCACCAACAATGAAGAGACTGCAGGCCTCTCTGGGGGTTCACACCAGCAGTCTTATTGAACACACAATCATTTTGATAGGTGTTTTTCACTGGTAACATGATTCTCTTGGGGCTGCAGACATTTATTTTTAAAAATACGCTAAATGATTCTTGGCCTTAAAAAATGAAACAATATGATAAATGTTCCTCATGAAGGAAGAAGTAGATAGTTAATGCAGTGTATCCACTGGTTTCTTGCTTAGCAATGAATTATCCTGTTTTTGAGTAATATTTCTTTCAGTGTTTGCTTTAGAGATGTTGGGATTAAAAATAGTTGACCTTTTTCTTTAATGTCATTATGTTATGTAGAAAACAATTATCCAGACAGGAGATTAAATAGAGGGGAAAATAGATGATTTTACTTTATAAAGAGCCTGGTTATCATTCTGGTAAGGTGAGATTGTGCCTTTGTCAAAGATAGATATTACTTTGAAATTCTTGGTCCTTCTTTCTCTTTGTATTCTGGTCAAGTTCAATATTCTATATTTTAACTCCTTCTGTGCTTCTCTTCTTTCCTTCCAGTCTAGAACCTTTGAATCCCTGTAATCACCTTTTCACTACTATAGCCAACTCTCTTTCTCCTTAACTGGGATGGAATCTGATTCAGTCTGCCCAGGCTGATCATTTGACATCTTGCTAACACCTGGGCTGCTGACCCCTGCTAGGTAAAACCTGACAACCACAGCTCTTGTAGCCTCTGTAAATTCCTGGCCTCCAATTTGATAGACTCTCAAAATGGCCTTAGCAATTCTTTTTTCCCTAAGCAGTTCTCCCCTTTGTGGCTATTCTACACTTCACCCCTTCTTTAAACTTCTTCCCTGGAACCTATTCCCTCAGTCTCAGGAGATGGTCTTGACCTCTGTTATGTGGAGACTACCAGGCAGGACCTGGAAGAATTCCTTCTTTACTACCACGCTATCACTCCCTACAAGTTTTCTCTTAACCCCGCCACCTTCTAGCTATTTTCCTACTTTCTTTAACTTTGTGGCCACTCTGCTCAAGAGTGGTGCCCACTTGCTTACCCTGCTGCTCTGGGGCTTCCACGGAAACCACTCTTGACAAGGTTGCTAGTGACCTAACAGTGAAACCAGGGAGACATTTTCCGACCTTCACCTTGTTTGGTCTCTTTGTGGTTTATTGAGCATCTTCACCTTTTAGGAAAATATCTCTTTTGGATTTTATCCCACCTTCTTAAAAAGAAGCATTTAATGATTTAAAAGAAAATTGATGTGAAAGCTTGCAGCCTACTAGTAACTAAACTTTTAAGAATTATACTTTTGTATTAATACATGGTAATTTGATTAATTGTACTTTAAAAATGTATTTCTTAAAATGCTTGACTGTGATCATCATTTCATGACGTATGTGTGTATCAAACATTGTGTTGGATTCATTAAGCATATACCGCAAAATGTAAGAAATATCTATAATATAGTAATTATTCCTTGGTTTTTTCTTTCTCAGTTAATGAAGGAGTTCCCCCTTCTGAGCATGTTCAATATCCATGAAAACCTTCTGGAAGCCCTTCTGGAACTGCAAGCGTATGCTGATGTTCAAGCAGTCCTAGCAAAGTATGATGGTAAGTCCTCAGGTGCTTTTATGTACTTAAATATTCCTCTCTTCTTGATGTGTTCCCATGATTAGATTGGAAGGATCATTGCAAATAGCACAGTGATTTAATAAATATCCTCTTACCATCTTTTCACCTGCAGTTTTATAATGGTGTTTGGTAGAATCTTAAAATTTTCTAGTTAGCAAGGGTCAAAAATAGCACATGGCAAATCCTCTGTCCCTCTCCTTCCTTCTCTCCGGGTTACCCTCCTGCCCTCCCTGTCAGGCAGTGATGTAGACCCTGCTTTATTACCCCCAAGTCAGGAAACACTGAGCTCCTCACAGGCAGCACCTACCCTGTTGGAACTCTGATCCCACATCAGTAGCGCTTTGACCCTGCCTGTTGTTTCCGCTGACCTTTCAGAGCAATAATGGAACACGAGACAGCTCAGTAAATACTTGAAGGCAAAGTCACATCCTCTTCATCCTGGTCTTCTCATTAGCACAGTATCCCCAGCTCTTTACATGGCAGGCCTTGATGTTGCTTCACCATTCTGGTTACTTACCCGTGAACTCATTCCATTTTGCTTGTTTCTAATAAATGAGAAAAATAAACTGGCATATCCTAGAGGTTTGAAAACTCTTCTGCTGTTATTGCCCTGTTCATGAATCACCATCTGATTAATCATACAAAAATTATCTGCATAATTACCTGCCTTAATGTAGCTACTAGAACCTTTGCAAGACTTTGCACTATTATGCTTATTTCAATAACTATTTTCCTAAAATAAGTATTTCTGTTTGTAAAATGGAAATTAGGGAGTGACAATTTATATTACACAATCACCTTTTGCTTTATAAATTACTTTTTCTTTAGTAAGCATCATCAGTGTGTTTAAGGAATTATTTGGATCACAAATTTCCAGGACTTTATCAAATACGGCAAACTATACCGTTTGGGTCTTATTTTTGACACACAGTTCTTTATAAAGAATCTCTGGAGTGGGTTAGAGTTGTTATCCCTTACAGCGTAGGAAACTGAGGCATTGTGAAACTGTTTTCCTTTTGTTTTGTTTTCCTCAAATTCTCACACTGAGGGAAACTCAAAGCCCTCTGCCAGTGACGCAGCCCCTCACCTGTGCAGACGTGAGTGCCGTGTGTAACAGGGCACATGCTACCTAGTATGGAACTGATTTTAGAAAGAGAGAAAAGTATTTGTGGAGTAAACAAAATGAAGACTGTTTGGCTTTCACGTCAGCTCACTTTTATTCGTGTTTATAGGCTGAAATCTCACTGTTCAGCTGAACAGTCTTAAGTTTGAGGATCCGGGGCAGTCCAACTGCAGCCCATGGCTGGTGATGCAGATGCATGCTTATCTAAGAGTTGTCTTGGGCCACACATTAAATACACAAATACTAACGAAAGCTGGTGAGCACAAAAAGATCTGTGCATCATTTTCATGATCTCCAACACTGCAAATAAGCATTCACAGCCAGTCACAGGCTGTGGTTGGACACCCCTGAAAGCTGTAAGGCTGCTTGTAGGCAAAATGCTCAGACATTGATGTTCTTTTAGTACCAAAGGAACCCAGTCCTTTGGATCTGTGGGTTCAGGTAGTCATGCACTTTTCCAAATTCCACTCTGTGGCCACCAGTGCCACAACAAGGTTCCAGCGTTCTCATCCTCAGTGCTGACCTGTGCTCTGAATATATCAATGCTTAAGAAATAGAAGTTTAATCTGTAGAGCCTTTAGGATCACAAGTCTCACAAGACTTCTTTCATGAAGATCTCAGTTCATTACAGAGCTCACCGGCCTCGTGTTGTAAGACTGATTGTAAAATAAAGAAATGAACTCCTTTGGAGCTTTCTCTCGCCCCTGTCTATGCCGTCGCACAGCCTCTGTTCCACAACAACTGAAAGCTGATTTATTAGATTCTGATAACATATGTTCACATTATTTGTTACAACAGCCCGTCCCACCCTCCACTAAAACTTGGCTCACACTTTGAAAAATTCCTTTGTCACAAATGGACAAACTCACCATACCAAGGCCCTTGTGTTGAGCTTTGTTTATGTTGTGTACCTGGCAACAGAGATGATGTTCTTGTTCATTATTCATGGAAAAAGAGCCTCATTAGTGGCAGGACACATACTCTTGCCGAGATGCCTCGTTAGGGGTTTTGAGTTCAGCAGTTGTCAATAGAGTGCAGATGACCTAACCCCGACTGAATTCTGAAGGGAGTTTTGGCGCTGACTTGGCTCAGGCCTGTATCATTTACAGTAGAAACATAATGAAGTGGCTGCTGAAGTTACTGTTCTTGAGGGGTGAGCTGCAACCACTCAAGATTGTTGAAAAACATGCCTCTTGTTCCTCACCCCATCCCATGAAATGAGTTCTTTCAAGTTCATCTCTGCTGCTTTGCCTGGAGACCTCTCCTGAGCTGCTGGCTCCTTATCTGGGCTTGGGCAAGGAAGTGGGCGCTTTAGAGGGCTTGGCGCTCAGACAGCTAGTAGAGGCGCCCCGTTCTTCACCCTCATTCAGATGTCATCATTCTAATCCACGAGATGCTGGAGACAGCACTTTGAATCGCAGCCTCGTCCTTGCCCTCCGCAGAGCCACACCCGGCAGCAGAGCTGTACGTTATCTGTGCTAATTGGAATGCTCTGCTTGGGTAGCTATCTCTCGGATGGTTTATGGGTACCTCAGTCCTTCCTTTGTTACATTTGCTATGTGGAGGAATTTTTTTTAATAATGTGTTGAAGTGACACACTGGGATTAGTGCTACTTTTCTGACCTTTGCAAAAAAGATTTAGAAAAATGGCAAGGCACGGGGGGGGGGGGATAAGAACATTTGGGGGAGGAAAGAATGAAGGCCAAATGTATTCATCTTGGCTCATTCCTCTTCACGATTTAAAAAAATGGCTTTGAGTTTGAAAATAAGTGACATTCATAAACTCCTTTTAAGCAAAGCACTTTGGAAATCCTGGGTCCCTGCAAGGATTACCAGTTAGTTAGTCACATCTTGTCATCTGCAGTGTAAGTTTTGATTTTGCCACTGAGATAGCTTCTCATGTTTTATTATTCCAGCCATTAGTCTGAAATGCTGTCTTGCCATCCTGGGGAATTTTTATTCTCTTTTATTTTCAAGGTGTTAATGTATGGGTGGGCAATTGTGTCCAGGTGGTTGGTCCTGGTTCTATAAGGTTCTTCATACAGTGACTACAATAGCAGCAGCAACAGCTAACATGGCTTGAGTTCTTGTAATGTGTCAGTGTCAGACAGGATTGTCACCACAAGCATATTTGGTAGCTCCTGTTGTTAGCCCCCCTTTACAGCTGTGGTGACTGGCACAGAAAGAAGTAGCTAGCTCCCAGGAAGAACCCACAATATCAAAGTTTAGCTAAGTAGCTGTTACACTGTGGTAGAAAAGTGATCAACTGAGAGCAATTTTGTTAAATATGATATGAATTCTATAAGGACAGGAAAGCCAAGATAAAAAAACAAGGTGGGCTGACTCCAGGGCCAGGCTTTTTGTTTTGTTTTGTTTTGTTTTTGAGACAGATTCACACTTTGTCACCCTGGATAGAGTGTTATGACTCATAGCTCACAGCAACCTCAAACTTTGGGGGTCAAGCGATCCTCTTGCCTCAGCCTCCCAGGTAGCTGAGACTGCAGGTGCCCCCAGTGACGCCTGGCTAGTTTTTCTATTTTTAGTAGAGATGGGTCTCACTGTTGCTCAGGCTGGTCTGGAACTCTTGAGTTCAAGCAGTCCACCCACCTCAGCCTCCTTGAGGATTACATGCTAGGATTTCAGGCATGGGCCACCTCATCCAGCCTCAGAGCTATGCTTTTAACCATCACACCTAGCCTTTTTCTGCTGTTGGCAGTATCTAAATTGTTTTTATAAATGCCATTGTTCTTGTTGTTGTTATTAGCCAGAATTTATTGAGAACCTATTACATGCCAAGTATGTTATACACATTAACTATAACCTCACAATTACTTTGCAAGAATGTAGTTACTTCATTTTAGCAGATTCAGAAACTGAGGCTCTGTGAGTTTAAGTAACTTGCAAGACCACATTCCTAAAAAAGCAAAAGAGCTGGGATTCACATTCAGGTCCAGCTGGCTCCAAAGCCCATGTGTTTTCCATAAATGTAAGCCTTGCTAAAGTGGTGTGCTGTGCTGCTCCCAGAGGCAAAGGCACGAATTAGGTGGGCTGAGCTGTAGTGCAGAACTTCAGTGATGCCAAATTGTCTTTTAAGATTCCTTTCTAATCATTCTTTAAGAACTGAGTATATCTATTTTTTTCTTGAACTGTCTTCAAAATATGTCTTTCCATCTTCAGTCAGCTTGTACCTGATTATTTTAATCACAAAGGGGATTTGATGTAAGATATTCATCCAATATGAGATTTATTATCGTTTTTTTGTTCAGTCATGCACTTGCTATAAAGACAGCAGTGTTTTCAAGATCACCAAGTTGTGAGACCCTTCTTTTAGAAGCCACTGCTTCTAAAGACATTTATAGGCCACCCAGGTGGAAACCTTAAGTCTCAAAGATTAGGGTGGTAATGGAGGAAAGAATTCACGTGTTTTTTATTTATTATCATTTGTGCATTTCAGCTTTTGAAGAGTTTCCTAGAGCAAATGAATGTGAATCTCAGTGCATTGAGTCACCTTTGGGAACATCTAGTTGTGTCTGTGTCTCGTCAGTGATCCTTGGGGACCAAAAGGCAGCCAGGGGTAGTGGAGAAGAGGTGGGTCAGGTCCCAACTCTGCCTCTCACTAGCTGAGTGAACTCAAGCAACTTCATCAACCGTATAAACTTTGATCTCTTTCTTTGAAAGTAAAAACAAGGCTTAGAAAGGCTAAGGAACTTGCCCAAGGTCACACAGCTGTTATTTTGTTGTAAGGATTAATCCATGTTTAGACAGTGTTTATAACAGTGTGGGACCCTCAGTAAGAGTTCTGATGCTGTAAGACTTCTATTAATTGCTATAAAGAGCCAAGATTGCCACTCCTAAA